ATAGTGTATGTGTGTGTGTGTGTGTATATATATATATATATATATATAGTATATACTGTATATGAGAGAGAGAGAGAGAGAGAGAGAGAGAGAGAGGGAGATGTAATCTGCAGTGGGTTTTCTTTTCATGACCATCAGATGGCAGCATTGACTTTTGAAATACAACTGAACCAAATGAAGCATCGGGCATCATTATAACCTCCATATTAATACCAAGAACGTGGGAGCGTTTACTGAAAGATGACAAGTAAAGATTTTGTGACGGGCATTAAGTTGTGAAATGTAACTTACTATAGTCAAAACTTCTCAAGAAATAACAGAACTATAATGTGAATCGGGATGTTAATAATTCAGGGCCACACAGGCTGGAGGGAAGTTTGTAAAACGTGGGTTTTTATAGTGTTCTTGACTTAATATTGCTGGATCTCTGAGATCATTGCTACTGACGTCTGAATTTATTTAAACCTCTATTTGATTTTATTAGAGAAAAGGCACAGTCCATACACTCTCTCACACACACACACACACACACACACACACACACGTACACACAAATGCTTTTGAAAGTTTGGATTTTTAATGCAATGTGACATGTCTAAGTAACGGGTGCTGCATGTCGTCCCCTTTCCTTCCCATTCCTTAATAAAAAATAGCATTGCTATTATTGCTAATGTTGATCAAATGTAGTGTTTTCCTGGTTGGGGAATCTTTTCTCTGAATTGAGCCACCTGGAATACTTTGAAGAAAACACTTTAATGATTCTATCTAATGTTGTCATATCATAGCCCTATTTTAAATTTGTTTTTAATTAAACATATTCATCATAACGACTTGTGTAGACCAACAATTTCAAAGTATTTGATCTCGATTAGGAATACAGCAACTCACCATCATGATCATCGTAATATGGATATAATTATCACTGCTTATCATTTTGTCAGATGTTTGGATTGATTTCTAAATTGTTTATTTTGAGCTTTGGTGTTGTTCTTTTTCTCTGCAGGATGTTTTAAACAACCTGGGCTCATCAGAGCTGGATGAAGATGATCTCATGTTAGACCTGGACTTCTCTGACGATCAGCGACATCGACATGGTAATTTGAATTTTTCCGCTATAAGATCTGCGGCTTTACACGGAAGACTTTCATGGCAAGTGTGTGAAGCGTACCTGAGAAGTTACAGATGATACACCCGCCGCTCACTCTTTCCACACTAAACTGTATCAAGCAACCATCTGTTTACATATTTATGTATTGGTACTTAATTTAAAATGACAATAATTCTCTAAGGTGTAAGGTTAAAGTCAAATGCATAATTCAACACTATCCACAGCGGGGTCACATACGGGGTCTGTAAATCATTGTGTAGCTGTTCCTCTGGTTCTTGGAAAGAAACCATTCAAATCAAGGGAGGAAATCTGTCACATAAAAATGTTTTATCTACCAATCCCCCCCCCCCCCCCTTATTCACTTTTCCTTTCTTCACCCCCGCTTTGCTTTCTTCCCTCTCCCTTGCTCCCTTTTTCTCTCTCTTTGTCTTTTCCCCCAAGAAGCCACCTCTGCTCCATCACCTTAAGACATGAAACCAGCACTCTCCCTGGTTCCTCCAACATGTGCCACAACTTTGATGTAGCTGCCTCATTTACAGCGATTTATCTCCTTTTGTTGTTTTGGCATTTCAGTCACACTCCTCCTGACATTCCTCACGGTTGAAAAGTGACTGTCAGAGGAGGATTGTTGCTTGTGTTCTGCCACAGTGCAGCACGGAGTGTGGCAGTAACCACAACGCAAGTGAATGTGTGAAGAGGGACTTCTTCCCAACACATTCATGTGCAAATTCTTAAGAGGGAATTTACTATTTCACTGTTGTGAGGAGACGTAGTGATGGGAAGTGATTGATTGCGTTTGCAAGCACTATTCTTATTTAATCATTCCTTGCAGGAGCATTATGGTAATTTAGCACAATTACAAGCTCTTGCAAATACTGTTAGTATTGATTACATTTCAGATTTCAAAGGTTTTCTTCAGAATAGACACAACAAACTGCATCGACTTGAAGAGTCGGTGTTTAGCTGAGTATGAATATAATGACTCATGAGCTTGAAATGTGATTTCATTTCTGTGCTTCTCAGATACAGGGACCACATGTTTGACAGTAAATATGGAGACGGGGTACAGTTACTCTCTTGTAAATGCGCACGCTTTGACTCTCATCGTGTGTGCGTGAGCACGTCTATAGCTTTGACTCTTATCTAACAGATCACACAGTCAAACTATATATAAATGTGAGGTTATATTCACCTACTCTAGGCTACAAGTCCCAGGTGGACTTGCAGAATATTACAGTTGCAATCAAATAAAGTAAAAGGCCTCGGCAGCACTGTGGAGTAAAGATGAGAACAGAAGCTCCAGCCCTAATGAACTGAATTTCCTGTGCTTATGGGGGTTGGAGCGTTTTTGGTAGGGAGGGTGGGTTTGCACTCGCACAACCACACACACTGATTTAAAACACCTCTTAAGGCAATGGCTGGTGCAGAGCAAGAAGAGGCACCATCATTATTACACACACTAACACACACAAGTGTGCATGCTCAGTCAGTAGACCTCGTGGTTTGCAGACTGTAGCATGAAATTAAAGGTTTGATGAATTGTTCTCATAAAGTCAAGGGACTACGACTTCGTGCTGGCGATGGGAGAGGAAGGTTCTTCACACACCCAGATATACAGGGACTGATTTATGTACTCCCACACACCTGAACACACTTATTCAGGCAGTATACACAACCAGCAGACAGACCAGATACATGCACACATACATATGAAGATATACACGGACACATACGACTAGACACACACCCATCCCACACACTCTCATTGGTACTCCTTGTTTTTACTTCTCCCAGGTGGCTTGTTGAAGCCTTTATTAAAAAGAAGCAGTTTCACAGCAATTTATGGCCAACAGTGTTCAGCTGCAGGGCTCTGTGTTTCTAATCCGACTGTGACTCATGCCCTGTGGAATCAGACGAGGACAGAAAGAGAGAGACGACGAGACCTTTTCAAAGACATGAAGAAATGCCAAATCTTGGCTTCATCAACAGTTTTTATTCCAGACTCTTTCACACTGCTCTGTCAAATGTGCCATTTAAAGTAGACTTATGATTCTTTAAAACAACTAATAGTATTGTCATTACACAAACCTCATCACTACTGAATTTTAATAAGCTACTTTGTGACATTGGTGGCATTTTATAGCTCTAATTTAATTTGGGGGGGAGATGTAAGTAGGCAGTTATTTTTGATTAGTCATCTATGTTGTGGTCCGGTTAGGTACTTTGGCACATTTTAGCTGTCAACTGAGATTAGAAAGTCGATGTCATATAATGACCGTACGTGTGTTTGGGTGTGTGTGCACAGTGTCCAGAGAAGACTCAAGCCAGTCCCTGGCCTCCTGTCTCAATCTGCTCCCTTCCCCCATGGACCCATCAGGAGATCGCATCCCAGGGAGAGAAAACAATCAGAGGTAAATATTCATATTTGTATCAATATACGGTGTTGTGTGGTCCTCCTACACAGCTTTAGGGAGAATTGGCACAAAATGCAAAAGGGCTTTCAGTGTTATTGTCTTCTAATTTCAGAAGGCAAATGAAGACAAATAGTAAAAGTTTGTATTTTGTGTGTGTGTGTGTGTGTGTGTGTGTATATATATATATACACAGGATAAAATGGTCTGGTACTGGCCAGCCTAAAACAGAAATCAATCTCATACAATTGGAGTATTATGGAAGGCTCAATTACCTGCTTTCTTGCCCACTTGTCCACAGTAGCATTTATCCTCTGAACAGTATGTCTTCAATACATTGTAGCCACAATATAGCTTTTTTCTCCCCCTCACCACACACTCCAAAGCCAATCGAGAGACAGAGAGAGGGTTACTGCCTATTCTAGGAATTGCTGATCTTGAATGTTGCCTGTAACATGTTTTATGTCTCTCCCTCCATTGGAGATGAGATGGGACTCTAGCACAGAAAGACAGAGGATAAATAAATAAATAAATAATCTTCAAATGAATATGCAAGCTGTCTTTCTGTTCTCTTTCTCCCAGTAGCTGGTGGCTAAAAGAGAACACTTTAGAGTTTGTCTTTGTTTTTGTGAGTACCACTGGCATGGGCGGCTCCATATCTGATTTGATTTCAGCCAGGAAGCAGGATAGGTCTTGCTGGGCACACAGAGAAATGCATGCAGGCCCATCCATTTGCAGATGCACACCTATACATACACAGACACGCCCACAGTGCAGCTTATTGGGTTTTATGAAGCCAGTGTGTAATAAAAGGGTTGTATCAACAGTGGTATTGTCTGATATGTCTGACGAGAAGGAAGATGATTATACTCTCATTGCTCCTGTCTCTTTATTTTATTTCTGCTTGCACCCATATGTGCCTGTCTATCTATGTTTTGCCCTAATTTGACTATGAGCTTCTTTGTTTGCAGAGAAAGTGCAGGTCAACTTATGTGAGTGGTTTTGAAGTAGAGTTTGAAGGATTTACACTACACCATTGAGACATAGGACTTAGCCTCGACTTCTTTTTTTCTGAGCTTCTAACACTCTTTGAATATCGCACTGAAAAGAGATACATTTTCTCTGTCTAGACAGTGTCAGTGAATCACGCAAGTTGGGAATCAACCTTTTCAACCCATCCAAGGTTTTTGTCAGACAGTTCATTGGTTGTTTCATTTATACTGAAGTCCCAAATGTCTTTGAAAGTGCTGGAGGAGCAGTCATGTCCAGACACACACACACACACACACACACACACACACGCCAATATTTGCATTAATCCTCTCTGTATACAAGGTGAAGGCTAAAATGTCATTCATCTGAAGCCAGTTTTCTTCCGTTTGATTGAGTTTGCCTGGACTTCAGCATCGCGGTTCAGGCTAGAAAAACCATAATATGAGGAGATGGGTCCAGAGATAGTGTATTATGATTGTATCCCATTAGCAGGGCAAGGAGATAAATGAATGAATGAATAAATGGACGAGGTAATATAGGCCTGGAGTCCCTACATTAGCTGTGTAGCTTCAAATAATCAGTTTTAGACATAGCTTTGAACAAAACTGACTATTAGTGCTAGCCGTGCCAGCAGCTCAGTGAGGCTGTACTTGGCCACAGTGGTACTTTTAGCTAAATGCTAACAACAATGCCAACATGCTGATGTGTAGCAGGCATTATGTTTATGGTATGATATTTACCATATTTCCAATCTTAGTTTAGCTTGTTAGCATTCTAACATTTGCTAATTACCCAAGTACAGCTGAGTCTGTTGGAAATGTCATCTGTTTTTGCAGATACTGGCTAAAACCACAGTACTGGCCAAACCCGATGATGAAGCGTTATAAGATGTCAGTGCATCACTTAAGTTTTTATTCATCCTGAGGGGACATAAATGTGGGTACCAATTTTCAGGGCCAATAGAGGTATAGTATTTCAGTCCAAACTTACCATCCCCAGAGCTAAGCTGCTAGCGTTGCTGAAAAGCTACGCAGTAAATTCACATTTAAATCATGGTATGCCTGAGTGAGGACCTAATGAGTTCCTCTTGTATATGCCACCTCTAACAACCCAACAGTCTGCACTAAAGTCTTGAACCTTTACCTCCCGAATGACTCAAGCCTACAAAACTGTAGACACATCACACACTTTAACAGCGTGTGTGCTACTGACAGTGTGACAGTGATATGATATAGTGGGCTTAGGGAGAAGTGTGTGTTCAGTTAATTTCACCAGCAAGGGAGCAGTTTTTGTAGCTGAAGTGCAGAGCAGCAGAGCAACCTCAGAAAACATAAAAAAACGGCCGGATGGAAAGAGCGGCTATACTTCCATTACGAATCACATTATTAATGGTTTATTTAAATAACCATGGGAATCCATGCCAGTAAAACACACTCGGACTCTGGAAACAACAGGTTGCATAATGGAGCCAGTCGTGTTCAGACTGCTTGGCATGTCCAGATTGTATTCAGATTGTATTGTAAGCCTGGAAATTACACACATTTGGAGGTGGTTCATTTGGAATGCCTTTCCAATTGGATTTTTACATTTGGGTCTCAGTCCGGATGTCAAATCGGATTTCAAAGTGTCTTTTACGTCACTCATTGATACATAAATATACATATGCACCACATTTCTTGCTGCACAGTGAAGTATACAGTAGCGACATAACAGACGTTGTTACCGTCTGGACATACAACTTCAATCTGATCACTTGCAAATAACAGTGCAGACAGTCTGTCTCAAAGATCTGATTTGACAAACAAATCGGATTTGCCTGCATTCTGTACGTAGCCCAAGTTTCTTACCCTGATCAACACAAGGCTGCTGGCATGGGTTAATTTCCCACTGTGATAAATCAACATCTGCACTGATTTCTTCTTACAGAACATTTCACACAGATTTTACTGGGGAATGTGCAAAGTCTGTGAGTGAAGAAGCTGAGATTGGAGAGGGGAAAGAGAGCAAAATGTGTTTGCCCTGGGCTTGCTCTTTCTTTCTCAGTCTCCCTCGCTCTTTGTCTCAGGTTCCACATTCCCTTAAGGGGACGTTGATTTGCTGGAGGCAAAGCTAGCTCCCAACTATTCACACACAAGAAAACACAAACACACACACAAGTGCACAGCAACACAAATTCACACACACACACACACACACACACACACACACACACACACACACACACACACACACACACACACACACACACACACACACACAACACACCTGTTAGTCAGTCAGCCTGTCCAGAGAGAGTATCAGCTGCACGATACTGCTGGCTGTCTGACATGCTGCACAGAACATCTGCTGTACACACACACACACACACACACACACACAGTCTTGCACGCACACCTCCCCTTTGATGTACGACAGTTGGATGATTTTGATGGCAAGCATTTAATTCTGTCTGTGTGTGTTACTTTGTAAACAGTAATGCCTCAATAACGAAGCTATGCCAGTAAACGCCATGTGGTAAATATTAGTTTCCATTTCTTTGAGGGTGCATATAGTCAGTTTAGAGAGGGAGAGACAGACAGAGGGGGGGGGGGGGATGGAAGGATAGTTCGGGAGGAAAAAAAAAACAACTGGAAACATAATGATATGTTGTCCTGTGTAAATATAAGAGAATAAGAAAGACATATGGAATCACTATATCCCCCATCACCTCGTGCATGCTGCACAGTGGCTGGTGAGCAGGGATCCCTCACCAGGGGCACAGTATACTCTACAATAGTCTTTTAACATGTAATCAATGACAGCTTGGGATAAAACTAAAAGGGTGAGAATATAGGAAGAGTAGAGTCTGATGTTAAGTGACACCAAGTTCTAGGGCTGTAACTAACGGGTGATAATAATGTATCATTATTGATTAATCTGCTTATTATTTTCAAGATTAATGGTTTTGTCAATGAAATGTACGGAAATAGAGAGAAATGCCTGTTACGATTTCCCAGAGTCCAAGGGGGAAATGTCACATTTTCTATCACTCGACTAATTGATTAATTGACTGAACGTTGCAGCTCTAGATGTTTCTACTTTGCAGTAGATTCATAGTAGAAGACGGTTTTTGCATAAATCAGATAAAGGTTGAATTCATTTAATCAGAGAGTACTGTACTGTTGCTTCCTAATGAACGTTTAACACAGCAGCTTCTTTTTGGTGTTTCCCCATACATGCATTTTATATGAAATTACTTACAACACTAAACGTATGCAATCATAGGTTATACATTGACAGAATGTAGGTGGGCCAAAAATACTTTTTTTTTTTTTTGGCATCAGCTCATGTGCTTTGTTACACAAAGCCCTCGTCGGTGCACTTCCTCTCGATAGTGTTCCCATCTTCACTGCATGACAATGATGAGTGAGCCTCAGTGCCTTTTAGTTGGGGGGAGAGGGGGGAGGAAGACGTATTAGAAGGTGAATACTGAAGATTGGTATGCGTGATATATCTTAATGGCTTGTGTTAATACATCGACTCGTCCCTCGTCTCTCCTATAGAGACACAGAGGAAATACAATTTTGACAGTTGCAGTACAGCTTGCCTGTTTCTATGGTAACGCCAGTCTGCCTGTTGAGTGTTCCTCTTCCATTCTTTTCTTTTCTTTTCTTCTCTTCTCTTTTCTATTCTTTCCCTTTTTCACTGATGGTGATTACGACGCAGTAGACAGGTAACCAATGGAGAGGACATGCAAACACTCAGAGGTGTCCTTCTCTGTCAATGTGCAGTGGACACTGATGAAAGTCTCAACTCCCACATCTCCACTTCTGATTTGAGGATTAATCTGCAGCTGTAACATTCGCAGGCTCATGCTTTGGCATAATAACACTTATTAGAAAAAAAACAAAAACATTTGTGGATGGACAGGTCCCAATTTTACCCGATGAAAACTTAATTAAAGATGACTTTAATCAAGTTAATATGTTGTCTCTCCTGTTAATAATCCCAGAAATGAGAATCTCTTT